AAATGACTCCACAAAATTAGCTAACAATCTTGGACTCAATCTTATTTAATTTAAATAGCAAAAAACGAATAGAGGAAAGATCATTTCTTTCCATGGTTTTCACGTATGCATGTTATTGCATGCATCACACGTTCGAAGCTTGGTCAGCTTTCAACACCTCCCCTTGATCCAAGCTTGCTCATTCCTATTCTTTCCATGAAGTACTGATGCTTGGCCTGATTCAAAGATTTTGTAAACAAGTCTGCATTCTGAAGATTGGTTCCACAGAACTTCACAACAATCTTTCCTTCAGCTACTAACTGCCTAATGAAGTGGTGTTGGACTTCAATGTGCTTTGTCCTTGCATGAAATACAAGGTTCTTGGTCATAGCAATGGCTGATTTGTTGTCACACCATAACTCTATGGCCTCATCCTGATCATGCCCTAAGTCTTTCGGTAGTTTCTTTAGCCAAATAGCCTGCCTAGCTGCAGCACCTGTTGCAACATACTGTTGCAACATACCTGCTGCAACTGTTTCTTGCTTCTTGGAGCTCCAGGTGATTGCTCCTGATCCTAGGTTGAACACAGACCCTGATGTGCTCTTCCTATCATCCAAACAACCTGCCCAATCACTGTCAGTATGCCCAACCAGCTTGCAGGTCTTCACACTTTCATAGAGTAGCCCATACTCAAGTGAACCTGCAATATACTTAAGTACTCTTTTTGCTGCACCTAAGTGTTGTTTGGTTGGAGAGTGCATGTACCTGGATATCACACTCACACTGTAAGCTAGGTCAGGCCTAGTGTGAGTGAGATAGTTCAAACCTCCTACAAGAATTCTGAAAGTTCTTTCATCAGCATTACCAGTTCCATCATCCCTTTGCAATTTCTCACATATGTTCATAGGAGTTTTCACAGTTTCACTTTCCTCCACCTGGAATTTCTTGAGCAGATCCCTTGCATACTTTCTTTGACACAGGAAGATACCATCATCTCCTTGGTATACTTCTAGGCCAAGAAAGTACTGAAGTAAACCAAGATCAGTCATTTCAAATTGCTTCATCATAGCATACTTAAACTCTGCCAACATCTTACAAGAGGAACTGAAATATATAATGTCATCTACATAAAGGCAAACTACTATGAAATCATTTGTACCTTGCTTCTTTATGTAGAGTGTTGGTTCATTTTCACTTCTCTCAAACTTGTTTTCAAGAAAGAAGGGGTCAATTTTACCATACCAGGCACGTGGAGCTTGCTTTAAACCATATAAGGCCTTCTTCAGCCTATATACCTTCTCCCTTGCATCCTTTTTAATGAACTCAAGTGGTTGCACAACAAACACTTCCTCCTGCAGATCTCCATTAAGGAAGACAACCTTCACATCTAATTGGAATACTTTGAGTTCCATTTGAGCAGCTAAAGCAAGAACCACCCTCACAGTTTCCATTCTTGCTACAGGAGAGAAGGTTTCTTCACAGTTTCCATTCTTGCCAGGGGCGCTGCCCCTTGGACCCCGCAAGGGGGCGCAGCCCCCTTGACCCCCGCCATTTAATCGAACCAAGTTTAAATTTAATTTCGTACAAGTGTGCGCTCCGCACCTCCTAACTCCATTGGTAATCTGTAAATTTCATTACACTAAAATGAACCTGGTGATACTAAAATCACCAACAATCCTCCCCCATTTTAGTGTAACCATGAATCTACATAAACAAGAATAAGAGACAACCAAACTTATGCATACATGAAAATATCGAAACGATTGAATTTTCATATTAGTACATTACACATTCCAAATACTCGAGAATCAGGGTGTTCTAAGAATTGAACCCTTCAACCCATTTGAATACACGAAGATAACATACACTTAAGTTCAAATAAACAACTAGTTCAAAACTTTGACACTATTATTAAGGCGAGTGTCCCAATCCATTCATAATCGTATAAAAGTCAAGTCCCAACTTTTCGAAGTGCGGCTACACTTCACGATCATATAGGTAATTCATTTAATCATGTACCTGCTTACATTTTAACAAAGGAATTATTAAGAATATATATTCAACCCTTTTACTACAGGTCCGAACACACTAACCTGGGATGACAAAATGCATGTGTTCCATTCCTTAAGTATGAGCTTTCCTCATTGAATTCAAACTCTAATATTATATTAGAGGGGAATTGGGTGTCTCATCATTATGGAATTAAATGGACTTTAAACCCATCCCAATCGCAGACTTGTGCACTAAGTCCCTGGCCAGACCTTTAGTTAAATGATCCGCCAAATTCTGTTGTGATTTCACATACTCAACAGAAATTACACCCTTCATGATTAAGTCCCTAATCATACTGTGTCTAACACCTAAGTGTCTAGACTTCCCATTATACACTTGGCTATAGGCCTTAGCCAACGTGGCAGCACTATCACAACGAATAGAAATGGGTGCAATTGGCTTTGTCCATAATGGAATCTCAAAAACCAAATCCCTTAGCCATTCTGCCTCTTTACCGGCAGAAGCTAAAGCAACAAATTCAGACTCCATTGTTGAATTTGTAATGCAAGTTTGCTTCTTAGAGGCCCAAGAAATGGCACCTCCCCCAAGCAAGAATACCCAACCACTTGTAGAAGAATGATCTTCTAGGTGATTTATCCAGCTTGCATCAGTATATCCTTCTAGAACCGAGGGATATCCAAGATAACATATTCCATAATCCATGGTTCCTTTTAAGTATTTGAATACTCTCTGAATTGCTTGCCAATGTTGAGTACTAGGATTGCTAGTATACCGACTCAACCTCCCAACCGCGTAGGCGATATCCGGACGAGTGCTTGTCATGGCATACATCAAGCATCCTATGGCTTGAGAGTATTCTAATTGTGATATTGCCTTGCCTTTGTTTGGCATTAATTTGACACTAGGGTCCATGGGAGTACTCACGGGAGAACATTCACTATAATTAAATTTCTTGAGAATTTTCTCAACATAGTGTGCTTGCGTCATAGCAATTCCTTTGTTCAACCGCTTAATCCTAATACCAAGGATTACATCAGCCTCCCCCATATCTTTCATGGAAAACTTTGATGACAATAAACTTTTCGTTTCATCAACTTGAAGTTGATCAGTGCCAAAAATCAGCATGTCATCAACATATAGGCAAATTATCACACCACACCCGGTTGAATCAAACCGACTGTAAACACATTTATCAGATTGGTTTAGCTTAAAACCACTTGATAAAATAACTTCATCAAACTTTTGATGCCATAGTTTTGGTGCTTGTTTCAGACCATACAAAGATTTGACAAGCTTACACACTTTATGCTCATTACCGGGCATAACAAAACCTTCTGGTTGGTTCATGTAAATTTCTTCATCAAGCTCTCCATTTAAGAAGGCTGTTTTGACATCCATTTGATGGACAACCAGATTGTGGATGGCTGCCAAAGCAACCAACAATCTAATGGTAGATATCTGGGCCACTGGTGCATATGTGTCAAAATAATCAATACCTGGTTTTTGTTTAAACCCTTGTATTACCAAACGTGCTTTGAACTTATCTATAGTTCCATCTACCTTCATCTTCTTTTTGAAGATCCATTTGCAACCCAAAGGTTTAGAACCTGGTGGCAAATCACATAGCACCCATGTATTGTTTTCTAAAATTGATGATAATTCATCATCAATTGCCTCTTTCCAAAAGGTCACATCTCGGGATTCCATGGCCTCTTTAAAGGTCTTTGGATCTCCTTCAATACTGTAACAATACGAGTATTGAAATCCAACCTCATCCCTTGATCCTTCCACCAAATACAGCTGGAAATCGGAGCCAAAATTTTTAGCAATTCGAGCCCGTTTGCTCCTCCTGACCTCTTGGGGTTCCGGATCTGATATACCTTCTAAAGTTTCTGAAATTTGTCCTTCATTACTGTTAGAAATCAGATCCTTAGGCCTTGGGATTGATGAAAAACGCATTTCATCAAAAATCGCATCTCGCGACTCAATCACGGTATGTACAGAAACCGAATTATTAGGATCTATAACATAGAACCTATATGCCTTGGAATTTTCAGCATATCCTATGAAAATGCAGTCAATTCCCCTTTCTCCCAAAGTATTTATTTTGGGATTGGTTAGTTTGACAACTGCCCGACAGCCCCAAATTCTGAGGTAACTCAAATTTGGAGACTTTTTGAACCATAATTCATATGGGGTTTTCTTGTTCCTTTTATTTGGAACCCTATTCAAGACATAACATGCGGTAAGCATTGCCTCCCCCCAAAACCCTTACTCAAGCCTGAGTAAGACAACATCGAGTTGACCATTTCTTTTAAAACTCGATTTTTCCTTTCGGCAACACCATTCTGTTGTGGTGTATATGGTGTCGTGGTCTCATGGATGATACCAACTGATTGGAAATATTGGGTATCCATATATTCCCCTCCTCGGTCAGTTCTAAGACATTTAACCGGATTGCTTAATTGCAATTCCACCTCGGTTTTGTATATTTTGAATTTTTGTAAGGCTTCATCCTTAGAATGCAACAAATACACATAGCAAAACCGAGTTGAATCATCAATAAAAGTTACGACATAATTTTTGTTGCCAAGTGAGGGAGTTGAATGAAAATCACAAAGATCACTATGAATCAATTCCAAAATTCCAGAATTTCGATTAATATTTTGAAAAGGTTGTCTTGTGATTTTGGTCAACATGCAAGTTTTACATTTTTCTGTATTAATATCAAAGGCAGGAATTGATCCATCTTTTGACATTTCGTGCATTCTTCTAAAATTAACGTGACCTAAACGAGCATGCCATAGCATGGCATTATCAATTGAAGAAGTAAATGATGCAGATGATACAAACACAGAATTTCCAACAGAAGATAAAGTATCAACCAAATTCAAGCAAAACATACGATTAGTAAAATAACCAAAACCAACAAACGTGCCAAATCGAGATAAAATAAATTTATCCGATTCAAAGACTTGCTTAAAGCCATCAGAATTTAAACAACCACCACTAACAAGGTTCTTACTAAGCCTAGGAACAAATAAAACATCAGACAACTTTATTGTTTTTCCCGAAGTAAACGTAAGACTAACAACTCCAAAGCCACAAATTGGTTGACTCGACTTATCACCCATCATCACCGTGGAACCATCATCAACTGGTGTCAATTTCTCGAACCATCGACGATCTTTACACATATGACTTGTGGCACCCGAGTCAACCCACCATGTACGGTCATCATCCTGTACATAAAAAGAACCAGGAATTAGTGAACAATAATTCTGAGTAGAATTATAAAGAGGGTTAGAAAGATTCTGACCTCCTCTAGATGCAGTAGAGTCCTTAGGCCCACTGTTTCCACCACCACTGTTTCCTCCACCACTATTTGCAGCATTTTTCTTATTGAGATTCACCCGACAATCACGCTTAACAAGACCCGTCTTTTGACATCTCCAACAAACCAGATCCTTAGGATTCTTATTTGGTTTGTCTCGGCTATCATTCTTGCGTTTGATGCCTTTTCCCTTGTGATTTTGATTGTTTTTGTTTACTTCAACCATGTGGACAGTAGGCTGTCCAACATCAGGCTTTGCCTTATTTTTGTCACCTTCTTGAATGCGGAGTGATTCCTCAATTTGTATGTGACTACCGAGTTGTAACAGAGACAACTCTTCATTCCCATGTTTCAGATCACGCTTGTAATCCTTCCATGTTGGTGGTAATTTTTCAATTATCATCGCTACTGCGACGCACTCATCCATCTTCATATTATGTTGAGTGAGTTGTGTAAGGAATAAATGTATTTAGATTTTGATGATGCTAGGTTAATTAGAATTTGAAAGTACCCCATTAGAAATTATGTATTAGAATTTCTTTTGTAAGTTTTAGCTTAGTCTGCCTGCCAGAGTTCCATCTTGCCTCTACCAGAGTTGCTCCCAGAGTTGCTCACCAGAGAAGCCATCAGAAACTGGTTATCAGAAAGATACCAGAGTTGGCACCAGAGACGGACTTCAGAGACTGGACCAGAGAACCTCTTGAGACTCTGCTAAGTATCATCAGATTCCGGAAGCCCTTCCAACGGTCGTTAAACTAACGGGAAATTCCCTAACGGTTACGAACCTTTCAACGGAAGCATGGCACTGTACACGCATTAAATGCACATTTAATGCTGTACGTACGAAGAGATATTTAAAGCTGATGATTGACCATGCGAATATCTTTACGCCCCCAAAATAGCAAGTCGGAGGACCAAACGGTCAAGTCAACAGTACACGCATTTAATGAAGCTGTCTTCTACACTCCAACGGGAAGACCGCTCCCAGTATATAAGATACACTCTGAAGAACAAAGAAGATAACTTTGCCATAACCTTTGCCAAGATAGATTTGCGTGAACAACTTTCTTGAGATCAAAACTCCATTTTTAACAAGAAAAGGCCACAGTTGGAAGATAAACATTCCTATCCTTCATCCAACTAGCAAAGGCAAAGTTACTCAGTTCTTCAACACTTCGAGAGCTTCATATACTCATCTTTTGTGAAGAAGCAACGTTGGAGAAAACTGATTCTATATCAAACACTTCTTGAAAAAGAAGGGACGTCTCAAATTAGCTGGAGTAAGTGAAGTGGAGATACTTCAAGAGACTCAGTGAAACGAGACCAGCCATCAGGAAGCAGGACTGCATCCCGGGTGGCAACTAGACTTGAAGAAGACGAGGAGTGCTTCTTAAGTTCTAGGGACTAAGGCGTTGTAAACTGTCGTTTTTGCAAGCTTAGTGGAACAGTGGACTAGAGGAACGAGTTGTTCCTTGAACCACTATAAAAACCCCGGTGTCATTTACTTTCAGCTTTTACTTTCTGCACTTAAGATTCTACTGACTAACTCTTTAGGTTGGAATCTGTGTCCAGCAGATCTTCCTTCAGAGTTATCAGAAAGGCATTTTGCCTTAGCTTTCTTCTAGAGGCTACCCGGACAGAAACTTATCCGCTGCCTGGTCTAGTTCTGCCATCAGAACTTGACCATCTCTGTCACCAGATTTCGACCATCTCTGTTAAGTCAGACTTGACTTGGAGAAAAGTTTAAATTCCTGAACAGTCTATTCACCCCCCCCCCCCCCCCCCCCCTCTAGACTGTTCCCATTACAAACGGGACCAACAAGTTGGCCCAGAATGCGGAGAATTTCATTGTATTGTTCCATAACAGGCCTTGAGTCCATCATCTTATAGTGATAAAAATCACTAACAAGGAACTTCTTACTAGAAGCATCCTCAGCCATGTACTTGGACTCAAGTGAATTCCACAATTCCTTCGCACTCTCCACGTTTTGGTAAATATCAAATAAAGTATCAGACATACCGTTTAGAATATGGCCCCTGCAGATGTAGTCATCGTTTTCCCACTTGGAACGACGCCTTGACTGCTCAATAGTTTCATCTTCGTGATACTCTGGCATAGGCGTACTCAGAACGTAAACCACCTTCAGTGTGGTCAACAGAAAGTGCATCTTCTTTTGCCAGCGACGGAAATCAACTCCTTGGAATTTCTCCAACTTGTCGAATTTGGAAGTCATCTCTTTTACAGATTCAGCCATGATTTTCCGAAACAAGAAAAAATATTAGATTCGATTGTTAATACTGGGGAGTTGGGAATCTGTTTTAGAAAATCTGGTGGATTTCTCAGAGTATCGTGTGATCACTTTCCGAATCTAATATTTCGACCCTATGCCTGGGTTACACGAAATTTAGATTATGGGGATAATCACTCTGAGAAACAGTCTAAAACTGAGGCACCAATATATAGACCACGAACTAGCAGTTTTAGTAGAACTCGAATTCTTCTGATTACCAAAGAGATAAGGCCAATCAGTTAGAGTTTTACTCTAACAGAAAGTCATTCTATTAAATAAATAATATGGACATGTTTATCCGAAAATAAATTTCCATATTTATTTCTTTAATAAAATAAAATTTTGGTCCGGGGCACTACCCCGAGCCCCGCGAGGGCGGCCTCCCTCGACCCCGCTCGCTGACCGGGCAGCGAGACCCCCGCCAGGGGCAATGCCCCTTGGACCCCGCAAGGGGGCGCAGCCCCCTTGACCCCCGCCATTTAATCGAATCAAGTTTAAATTTAATTTCGTACAAGTGTGTGCTCCGCACCTCCTAACTTGTCTAAAATTAAACTTGAACTCCAATGGTAATCTGTAAATTCCATTACACTAAAATGAACCTGGTGATACTAAAATCACCAACAATGTATTCTTAGTGGATATGAATAACTGGTTTCAGGTGACTGGAATGGCATTTATTAAACTAAATTATCATCATGGAGGGGTTTTAATAAAAACCCTACAACCACATTATGTTGGAGGGGAGGAAGAACTTGTAGAGAATATAGACCCAGATAAGTTAGACTTTTGGTGGTTATTTGATTTGCCTAAAGAGAGGGGTATCAATACTGAAATTGAGGAGTTGTATTACCTTGTCCCGAGAAAGCCATTTAATATAGGTTTGCATCAATCAATCAGTGACACTGAGGTTGCTGTGTAGTCTAAAATAGGGATTTAGAAGTAAAGATGAACTGAAGCTACTCTGTATAAACTGATTTTGATCAAATGTATTCACTGCATTTAGTTCGTAGAACATCAAGGCTATATATAGCCAAAGTAAAGATAAGTAACATACTTCCTAGAATAGCTCAACAAATTCCTATTGTGTAGGCATACCTACACGTTTGAAAGCAACTAAAAGAAGTGCACAAATGACTCCACAAAATTAGCTAACAATCTTGGACTCAATCTTATTTAATTTAAATAGCAAAAAACGAATAGAGGAAAGATCATTTCTTTCCATGGTTTTCACGTATGCATGTTATTGCATGCATCACACGTTCGAAGCTTGGTCAGCTTTCAACACCTCCCCTTGATCCAAGCTTGCTCATTCCTATTCTTTCCATGAAGTACTGATGCTTGGCCTGATTCAAAGATTTTGTAAACAAGTCTGCATTCTGAAGATTGGTTCCACAGAACTTCACAACAATCTTTCCTTCAGCTACTAACTGCCTAATGAAGTGGTGTTGGACTTCAATGTGCTTTGTCCTTGCATGAAATACAAGGTTCTTGGTCATAGCAATGGCTGATTTGTTGTCACACCATAACTCTATGGCCTCATCCTGATCATGCCCTAAGTCTTTCGGTAGTTTCTTTAGCCAAATAGCCTGCCTAGCTGCAGCACCTGTTGCAACATACTGTTGCAACATACCTGCTGCAACTGTTTCTTGCTTCTTGGAGCTCCAGGTGATTGCTCCTGATCCTAGGTTGAACACAGACCCTGATGTGCTCTTCCTATCATCCAAACAACCTGCCCAATCACTGTCAGTATGCCCAACCAGCTTGCAGGTCTTCACACTTTCATAGAGTAGCCCATACTCAAGTGAACCTGCAATATACTTAAGTACTCTTTTTGCTGCACCTAAGTGTTGTTTGGTTGGAGAGTGCATGTACCTAGATATCACACTCACACTGTAAGCTAGGTCAGGCCTAGTGTGAGTGAGATAGTTCAAACCTCCTACAAGAATTCTGAAAGTTCTTTCATCAGCATTACCAGTTCCATCATCCCTTTGCAATTTCTCACATATGTTCATAGGAGTTTTCACAGTTTCACTTTCCTCCACCTGGAATTTCTTGAGCAGATCCCTTGCATACTTTCTTTGACACAGGAAGATACCATCATCTCCTTGGTATACTTCTAGGCCAAGAAAGTACTGAAGTAAACCAAGATCAGTCATTTCAAATTGCTTCATCATAGCATACTTAAACTCTGCCAACATCTTACAAGAGGAACTGAAATATATAATGTCATCTACATAAAGGCAAACTACTATGAAATCATTTGTACCTTGCTTCTTTATGTAGAGTGTTGGTTCATTTTCACTTCTCTCAAACTTGTTTTCAAGAAAGAAGGGGTCAATTTTACCATACCAGGCACGTGGAGCTTGCTTTAAACCATATAAGGCCTTCTTCAGCCTATATACCTTCTCCCTTGCATCCTTTTTAATGAACCCAAGTGGTTGCACAACAAACACTTCCTCCTGCAGATCTCCATTAAGGAAGACAACCTTCACATCTAATTGGAATACTTTGAGTTCCATTTGAGCAGCTAAAGCAAGAACCACCCTCACAGTTTCCATTCTTGCTACAGGAGAGAAGGTTTCTTCACAGTTTCCATTCTTGCCAGGGGCGCTGCCCCTTGGACCCCGCAAGGGGGCGCAGCCCCCTTGACCCCCGCCATTTAATCGAACCAAGTTTAAATTTAATTTCGTACAAGTGTGCGCTCCGCACCTCCTAACTCCATTGGTAATCTGTAAATTTCATTACACTAAAATGAACCTGGTGATACTAAAATCACCAACAATCCTCCCCCATTTTAGTGTAACCATGAATCTACATAAACAAGAATAAGAGACAACCAAACTTATGCATACATGAAAATATCGAAACGATTGAATTTTCATATTAGTACATTACACATTCCAAATACTCGAGAATCAGGGTGTTCTAAGAATTGAACCCTTCAACCCATTTCAGTGTGCTTCTGAATACTTCCATCAGTGTTGAACTTGGTC